TCCTGCTGCCGCTGAGCTGCAGGGATTTGCAACTTCTGTCCCACTCTGTAGGAATTTGCGCAGGTCTTTTAGAGCAGGCCTGAGCATCTGGACTAATGCAAGCAGGGCAGCCTGTGTACCTTCCAGGGCCTGGGCCTGTCTTTCCTGGGCAAATGCTTGAGCCTCCTGGGAGCGTCGCATCATCTGCAGCAGCTCGTTCTGTCCTTCCAGGTGCTGGGCGATCTGTCGGATGTGGACATTGGTGACCCTCTGCTCCTGCAGCAGGCGAGCGGAGTTGAGGGCGATGCGGTTCTTCAGCTCCTGAGGTTTGGCCTGACCCTGAAGTGGAGGAGGGGAAGCTGAAGACGAGGCCAGCATCTCCACTGGAGCCTCCACAGCCGTCACCACAGTGGGAGTAGAATCACTTACAGTGGTAGAGCAGTACTCCACCACGCTTGCATCCTCGAGAGTGTGGTAAGTTGTTTCAGCTGGAAACAGGACAGAAAAGTGCTCTTTAGGTATAAGTTACTGTGTGACTGTGAGTAACAGCTCAGGATAAGTGGGGTCAGTGGGGGAGCTGTTCAGGCTTCTTGGCTTTTACTAATAGTACAGGAGAGTATGACTCAATACTCTGAAGTCAAACGACTGCATTCCTAACCTCTTTTCAGCTTTCATCATTGTCATTAAGCACATATTGTCACATATTCAAAAACTTTGTCAAGAATGACAAGACAGCAGTGACTGATAGAGCCACAGAAATTCCAGTAAATGGTAAAGTGAATGCTGCATTAATGCCGATTGTAGGAGGATGGCTTCAGAACACTCAGACTGTGTTGCACAAGCTGTTCTTACTAGTTTTGTGGTTACTGTCTGTATAGTTATTAAACATTTGACAAAGCAGATCGAGGCCATTTATGTGAATAATATAAGGGTTTAATGATTCTTGCACCAAGGGAGCATTCAATACACACAATATGGTTGCATGAAGGAAATGCTTAGGGGGGCAGTCTCTCTGAGAGACATTTATACAGTCAGACTTTAGCAATCGTGGCAAGTTCTGCGTCATCGTTGACTCCTGGAACAGATATGTCTGAATCTCTGCTGAGTTGCAAATTGAGTTTTTAATTGTGAAATTTCTGGAAAACTGATACATGCAGCCTTGGCTTGCACCTCCTTGGTCTGAGTTCAGATTGCAATCTTGCAGTGTTAGGCCTTCTGTAAATGAAGTTAGTCTGCTACACTGAGAAAAACAATTATTATGATATCCAAAAAGGCCACTACAGGATTTGTTTGTTTTCTAGAGCAGAAGAAACTTAAGTATAATAAAAACTATTTGTTTTATATGTGCACAGTAATGAACAATTTATTACTGTAATAACTGTCAAACCAGTTAATATTTTGGCCTTTGGTGATTTTCCAGTTTAACTCACAGATGACCTGTTCAACTACTTACTTCCACTGACAAATATACTGTCACCTAAAGCTGACAGGCCTCAGGAATCTGCTGTCACAGTCTAATTTTGTGTAATATTCAACTCAATGTATAGAGACCTTACTTTGTGCAATATGGAAAGGGATGTTCTTTTGTCTATGAATGATGCTGACTGCTCTGAATGGGCCAGCTAAACAATTTCAAGCGGGGATGGAGGATATTGCACAAAAAAGAAACTTACCATTTAGTGGCTTTGCTTCATCACAGACTGTACCTGCACCAGCTGGAAGTGCTAAATAAAAATAAAGACATAATATGATGTTAAAAAACAGACTACTGTAGTACTGTACACCAACAGTCATAGAAACGGAATAAAGAAAACTGAAAACACTAAATTATAAACCATTCAAAGGGCAAGAAACCTGCAAAAACACGTATGGCCCCTTAAAAGTTTTCTGGTAAAGGTGCCACTTGTGATTGTAATTCAGGCTAATAGTCAGTAACAAGCATGTTCCGACATGAGTTTCTGGGTCATGGAGAAAAGAAAAAGTAGGACAAACACTGAGAATGGAATGTGGAAACATTAAGTGTCCAGCTGATAAATTTCTGAAATGAAAAATATTTTCATATTCACAGATTCTGTATTTTTCAATGGGATTTTAAACAAGGTAATTATAGAGCCCATGGTGCGTTTCCTTGTTTTCTGCCTTATCTACAATGTTACAACGGCAAATTATCACCTTAGACGTGACCTCATGGGCTCTTTAAATTTCCTCTGAAAAACACAAACAAAATTCTAAAACAAATTGTTATGTCTTAAATGATATCTAGAGGGGATCTTTAACTTTATTTGTCAAATATGTTTATTGCTTCTTATTCTAAAACGCAGCTGGATGAGCAGGTCTTCTGTGATCAGACTAATCTGAATAAATATTGACTTGGGCTTGGAGACTACACATGTGTAACTCAAAGCCTGAGTTACAAACTAGAGACAAGAAGAATGTGGTAATTTCACAGGCACAAAACAAAAAACAATATGGAGCTGTGTTATGGGAATTACAAGATCCAGTGTTTGTGAAGTGCGACTTATACTAGGGACTAAAAATCAGTCTATCTCTGCTTTGACTTTGACCCGCACATTTATGGGTGTGTAATACTAAATTACTGAACAGACCCTTTAAATTATTCAGTGAATTAATTTGGAGTGCACCAAGCAAAGGAGGTGTGAGGGAAGCAAAAGTAGGATGTTTTTGAGCTAAATGCGATCACCCCAGGTTTTGCCTTTCAATTAAAGCACAGTTTCCCCATCTGTAGGTCAGGATGCCTCAAGGATTATTAAAAGGGTAGTAAAGGAGAAAGTACATATTTCAGCTACACAAATACATATACTTTTTCCAGATTTTCTTTTAATCTTTACTTTTATTGTGAATTGTTGGACTATTTTACTTCTTTGTCCTTCAAAAAATTCCTCAAATAAAATAACTGGAGAAAGGAACAACCATGCTGACTCAGTACAAACTGCCTGTTGAGATGATGGGGTCAACACACTGCTTTAAAGAAAACCTGAAGACCTCTAGGTGATTTTTGGAAGCAATAGTGCAATAAAACATCTGCACCATTAACGCTAACTGCACATTAGCATTTATCAAACCTTCTTTAACAAGCCTTGTTTCACTGGTTTAATTTAACAATAGAAATGGCCTGGATCCTGTGCAAAGTTCACCATAATCCAGTCTTAATCGTTTCTCAACCCCCTAAACAGTGATATTGGCTGAATGTTTCTTAGCCCAGCATCTGTATTGCTGCATGTTCAGTGTTGCACATGCAGTGTGACGGAGTCTCTCACTTCACTTTAAGGGGAACACTTTTAACTGAACTCTAATAAATCTACCAGAGAGTAATACGTGAACTTTTCTTATTACAACAGCATGTTCCGGACACTGTGCATGTTCAGACTGAAAACTCTTCAACTTACTCTCTGCTAGAGTCACGGTGGCAGCGGCGTTCATTGTAACAGGTAATGTTATCTCAGCATCCGAGTCTCCTGCAGGTAAGCTGATGATGGTGGCTTCCCCCAGGAGGTTACAGATCCTCTGCTGCATGGCAGTAAGGATGACAGGAACTGGAGTGCAGTCAGCGGAGGTCCCCTCTATGGCAGCGCGCGCTTGAGCCACTTTCCGCCGGACCTCCGTCTTCATGTCAGACCACTTCTTTTTCACCTCGGGCAACTCTCTGGGACAGGTGGTAACAGCGTTCACCTTTTTCAGGATTTCCACCCACGCGTTATTCTTTGCCATGTGGGTGACTCCAGCATTGAAATGGTTAACCAGTGTGTGCTTTTGTTTCTCAATTTCTTCCACAATAATTTCCACCTCTCTCTCCGAGAAATTCATTTTTCTCTTTTTCGCGGCCGATGCCATAATTACAGAAATTCCTTTTTTGAAGAGGTAATTGTGCGTATTGTACGCAAAATAGTAGGATTCACTCAATTGAAATGCGCAACGTAATGGCTTCCAGAATCGGCTTCTTCTTCCGACTAACAACGCTTACTTACGTTAGCTGGGCATGGAGCCCCGCCAGCTCACTCCCCATTGGTTGAGTATCTCGCGGTCATACTATATCCTCTGTTGCTATTGGTTTAAGGAGATGCCAATCACTCAACGAGCCAAACAAACTATGCTGTTCAAATGCCAAATAAAACTTCTCGCCATCGTGTTTTTCCTCGATATAACAACAAATAAATGTAATAACAATAGCATACCGGCGCTGCAGAAAATAGTTGTTTCAAGCTGCGGTAAGACAGGAAATTAGCACAAAATACATACAAATGTATTTGAAAATAATTTTTTAAAAAGACGGGGAGAAAGACGCTGCATGTGATATTCTCTGGACACTGAAATTAAATGGAAGAGGAATATGGCGGCCTACATTCTACAACAAGTTTGTCATAAATCTAAGAAAGATGCCACTTTTTACATATTCACAGAAGAAAGAATAAATGTAATGTAATAAATACAGATTTAGATTTCTTTTCAGCCTCTGAATGATTTCTGATCTGCAGTGAAGTGAGCAGCAGATGGCAGCGTTACAACACTGACAGACATTGAACAATGATGGAAATGATCACAGTAGCTAATATTCCTGTCACATTCCAGTATTAAAGTGGGCTCTGCGGTCCTGAACAGGTTAATTTTTCTGCTGTAATTTTTTTTAAATCCCTAAATAAAAATTGTAAAAATTACTAAAAGCACAGTTGTATGCTAAAGTTTGGCCACCCGTAGACAAATTATATATATTTTGTTGAATTTAAAAGCTGAAGGAGTAAATACAAACCCATGACTTTTGCAAACTCCCAAACATTTGTCTACAACTGTTTGATGGATACAGGTGGGTTCAGGCCACCATCATGTTGTTTCAGCATTTTGTTCAGAGACTCACAGTGACTGTTTTGCAGGCGATGTGCCAAAAACTGACTGCTTGCCAGAAAGGGAATATGGTCTGCTGCCTGTTAAAATGCACCGGCCAGTTTATATCCACATACAGCTGTTTTTGTTGGAAGCAAACCATAATAAAATGCCAAAACAGACACAAGTACTAGCACGAAGGTACAGTATGTCTTTGTAAAACTTGTAAAATTTTTGAGGAAATTGTAATGGAATAATTGTGATTATATAAAAAAGCCATAGTAGTTTAGAGTGCAATCAGGCTTTCTTGAGTCGTAACTGCTAAATATACTTAGGTGGTTAAATGTTAACATTTCTCCATGACAGAGGTCAATTTGTTTCTTCTGCAGCGTTTTATTCAATTATGAACAGCTTAGATGTAAGTACCGGTATGTCATTACCAGCCAGAAACAGTTTTTTAAGTTATGTTATGTCTGTGTAACATATGACATTCTCCATATAATGTGAGCTATACAAATAAAATAAAGAAAATGATCCATTTTGCAATTTTTCTACTGATTCTGTGTATTTTTGTGTTGTTGACTATAAACCATGTAGTCTTTTCTTCCAGTTTAAGTACCTAATGATCCAATACAAGCCAGAAAAATGCAGCACTCCCCTTGCCAAAAACTGAATACAGCTAATATTTTGAAAGGGTATTCTCCCCCAATACCTTCATTTCGCCCTTTTGGGTTATATTTTAAATCTTATAAACCACCCAGTACATTTGTACCACCTTAAGTACCCTTAAAGGGCCAGTGCAACCAGCAAATATGTTGTGAAAACAACCACCCATGGCGTGTTATGTGCATATTATTACAGGTAAAAGATGCAGTAAATACTACAATACTACTAGAAAATACGCCACAGGAAATGTGATTATTCAGCTGATGTATTGCGCAGAAAATATGGACCAGGGTTCATCATGGCCTGTTAACAACCAACTCAGACAGAAATCACGCAAAACGCACTGTGAGCGAGACGACAGATAGATACACCCCGGTGCACTGACCTGTATAAACTATTTCCACTATGGGTAGAGATAGGGATGAACACACTGTGCCTATCAGTTACAACAAACCATATAAATTAGGGGGATATCCATCTTTACAGTCTATGAGTCACCTTCTAGAAATACTGTCTTGAAAAATGCCTGAAGACATGAAAATTACCTATCTGAAAACTACAACCTCTCATAAAATACTACAAGTTTATAGTTCTGCATGAGCGTTAAGGAGGGAAATGTCTCTAACTTATAACATGACTGTGGCACAACAAATCAGGGACCCAATAACAAACATACAATGAGCTAAATGTTGTGTAACACTGATGGTGATAACAGTTTACCTCAGGTTGAGGCTATGCTGATCTCTGTAGTAATAAGCAGCCTCGAATGGGCAGCACATAAGCACACACACACAGACATTATGGAGTGTTATGCTGGTACATGCCTTGTTGAAAAAAGATTTGTCTGGCGAAAATAGAGACATTGCCTCTTCTCCTTACTACAATTTACGGGCGGTAGAGGAATGTATATGTACATTACCACCACTTGCCGACCTTTGTGATCTAGTTTTAAATAGCCCCATCTGGTGGGGAAGAAATAAAAATACACCCCCTTGGTGTTACAAGTGAAAAACAGGAGCTGGGATCATAAATACAGTGCCAGTATTATGAAACTTAAAATAAGGAAATGATGCACCCCATACCTGAAGTCAGACAGAAAAGACCCATGAAACAGTTAGACAGCCATGAAATACACTATAGGCTAGAAGAGAGACAAAGCAAAGGGTTGCCATCAATAACAAAAAGGTGCAAATCACCATGCAAGGGGCAAATAAACAGTAAACCTGTGTAATATAACAAAATAAGCTGTATAAACAAGCAACAAACAGTGCAAACAATGCAGAATAAGCAGTATAGACGGGCAGTAAACAATGCAAACATTGAAACGAGATAAATAGGAATAAAAACACAGTACTTAAAACTAGAGACCTATACGAATCTGTATAATCTGTACGAGGTATATTTACAGGTATTGCACTGAGGGTCATTTGTCCAATGATACTGTCGTAGGTTAAGTGTTAATCAGAGCGACAGCGAAGAAACTGTCCCTGTGCCTGGTTGTTTTGGTGCACAGTGACCTGTAACGCCGTCCAGAGGGGAGGAGTTCAAACAGATTGTGTCCAGGGTGTGAGGGGTCTGCAGTGATCCTCTCCGCCCTCCTTTTGACCCGTGAGTACAGGTCCTCCATGGAGGGCAGGCTCACACCAATGACCTTTTCTGCAGTCCTGACTGTCCGCTGAACTCTGTATTTGTCCTGCTTGGTTGCTGAGCCAAACCAGACAGTGATGGAGGTGCAGAGAACAGACTCGATGATTCCTCTGTAGAACTGTATCAGCAGCTCCTGGGGCAGGTTGAACTTCCTGAGCTGGTGCAGGAAGTACATCCTCTGCTGTGCCTTCTTGGTGATGGTCCTGATGTTGGA